AAATAACCATCCAAGTGAGAATCTCAAATCCTACACTGCCTTCAAATGTATCAACAATATTCAAGTTGGACACCCCCGAACTACTAGCCGTGGATACTATAAGATGTTCTCCGCACTGCAAGAAACGTGCTGATGTCTTTGCCACAAAACCTTCGCCTACACCCCTTTCATTTCTACGTCTTTTTCATTAACGTGTCACCATTTCCACTTTCACTATCTCCAATTGTGTAACTAATTGCATGAAATCATCATCAAAGTCACTACCATCTCGGGCCCAAGTTTCCTCATACTGTCGTCATCATCCAGAATTTCAGAGCGCGGATGTTTGCAGGCCCGGCCGTGATAACTGTGACGTCATGTTTACATTACAATATAGCTCTAGGTCGTCAGCTGCAAGATGATACGTAAACAGTAAGTTCATCTATTTCTCGTAGCTCTACGCAGACTCCTTAATGGAGCAATTCGTTCCCACACAGCAGAGCGTGTGATGTAGGCGAAGCAACGATACAAATAATTTTACTGCAGAATTTAGTGTGAAATTTAACTTTTTCACTCTTAAATCTTTGTGTGCAAAGCATGCGGTACGTGACTTACGAAAAATGGTAAATCTGACCTAGGTTTAAATTTCGGGTTTGAAAATATCAGTGAAAGACAAGTGGCATACCGCTGCTCATCTCATGGCGTGGTTTTTAAACAATAATATTTACAAAACTTTTATTTTCTAAGATATAAAATCCTCATAACAGCCGCTGTGAACACTTAAATTCTTATGTAATAAAAATTACAATTTATTGCGGATAAGAGCTACCAGAAGAAGGTTTCTTTAATTAAATGGCGTATTCAAAGAGTTGTCGATCACAGTAATACCGCGGTCTAAGGTATGAACTGTCTTCTCCAGCTCGAACACTGGGCTCATGGGTTCGAATCCCATATTTGTCTACGTTTATTCTGTGTGTGTTGTCCTGTGTAGATGGCGGCCTTGCGACGGGCTGATCACCCGTCCAAGGAGCTCTACTGACTGTCTGAAAGATTAAGAAACTGAAGTGAAACGAAGCGTTTCACGGATGCCCTGTTTCAGAGGGAGCGACAGGGATCTGATGATGATGATGATGATGACGATGATTCAAAGGTTTAGAAAGTTGTTCTAGAAGACCGATATACCTAGTTAAAACAAATAACTTTTGCTTTGCATAACTGTCAGGTTTACTGACGCACGATGCAAATTTCTTGGATACTGGTGCGTGCCCCTTCACAACAGACATTATCGGATTCCGAGATCTGATATATATTGCATTAGAACATTATCGATTGGGGCTTAGCGACTGCCAACTCTCGAACCAAGTGACTGCTGCTACTGCTCACTTTCCTCAACAATTTCAAAGAGACAGAAATCCTTCGAGTGGAATGAACTATCTGGAAACTTATTCTAGAACCTGCTACGTTCAAATTCTGATAGATCATTACTACGGTCGAAGGTACACCATTTTGGAGTCAAAATATGCTACTGTACAATACAAATTATTGTATTTCTGGACATAGTCTGACTGATAGATTATTAAGCCGTTCTTCTGCCCGAAGTTCGTGTGAATAACATTTAAAAATTCAGAGTCCTATATCACAGAAAACACACTGTATCTTCATAACAAATGCTAGCCTTTTAACGCCGTTCAGGGAAATATTCGCTCTTTATTCCGAGAATCATAAGCAGCCCAAAAATACACCCTGTTGGCAGAATTCAGAGTTTATCGATGTTAAAGCAAGTGGTAATTGGTAAACATTGTGTACTTTGAATGGTTAGGACGAAGGATGGGTTATCATACATTGCGGTTGATGCTTAGAATTTTGGCTTCATATTCGAAAGTTCCAGAGTTAAGATCTTGCTCCGGAGACCGGTTACTACAACTGTTGTTTGTCATGTCTTTCATTGGCTTCTTCAGGCAAATGTAGGTAAATATCTCAAATTAGTAAGATTTGAGGCTTTTACGGCGGTGACTATGAAGAAAGCAGTCTTCTGGGATTTGGCACCGTGTATATGTGGTGTTAACCGACGTTTCGGAGGAACGTATCGCCTCCATCCATCAGCCTCAGTCTGCTTTTACCGGTTCTCACGGTCTCTTCGCTTGCGGATTTCTTATATTTTCCTTCTAACCTGAAGATGGAGGCGATACGTTCCTCCGAAACGTCGGTTAACACCACATATACACGGTGCCAAATCCCAGAAGACTGCTTTCTTCATCTCAAATTAGGCTACTACCACTTTTATTCACATCATTTTCAATTGTAACCGTTCACTAGAATTGATGTTACTATAAATTATGTTAATTTAGAACAATTAAATACAAACTACAGTTTATAAATAAGGAGTAAGTAGTCACATTTTTGCATTCAGAAAGTGACATAAGCTCATTCTTGCTGTGTGGGCAGGATGTGTCATTTGCTACACTTCCGGAAATTTTAGCTGTTCGAGCTACGGCGGTATGCCTTTGGAAATCTGAGACTTGACAGCAAGTGCAAGCTACAGAACTCAAAAGCGGGAGGGCCGCAGCCCCATGTCAAGCTGGTTATATACCACGAAACTGTCGAAGGTGTCGTTGAGTCTCCAAGAGGCAGAATCGAGCAACAAGTCAATATCGCTGGGAAATGTAAATTTCCGGTGAACTCCCAAATTTTGAACTGGACCAATAAGGCATGTTTCAGAGAGGAGGAGCATCTTCTTCGAAGTTTGGGCTCGAAGAAGCTAGCTACTGAGAGAATTCCTTCACTAAATTCTGAATTTTACGGACACAAAACTGTGTCCCGTCATCACCGACAACCAGTACATTGTTCAGTTTATGCCAGACCACTTAGTAAAAGTAAGTTCCCGGAAACTGGAGTGGAACAAAAATAAACACAGTGTTGAGAAGTGATCAATTAAACCGGTGTTAAGAATAATATCTTGAGCGTAACTGAATTTGTGTTCATGCAAAGTTCTTCCCCTCCTCCCGGAATGAGACTCTATACGTCCCTGAGACCTGATATCAGCTCTACAAATCCCTGAGCAGATCGGCCTGACCCCGATAACTCACCTGTCCGGATGTCCTTCCGGTTATAAGCTACTCACTTAGGCTTACTGGCGCCCAATCAACACTCCATACTTTCCCAAATTAATCTGCCTGTTCAGTAACATGGTGCGGAAGGTGGCAGAAACGACAACCAAGAAGAGATCCGGACGTACGTAGTAACAGTGCACGGTGAGAACTCTGAGCAGTCAGAAGAAACGAAGTAACGAACTTGGTGGGTCGGTTATACAGTTCACTATTCCCTATATCGTTCTGCACTATATAGTCTGATCTACTGTCATGAAATAAGCCATAAATACGAGGGTAAGTCAATAAGTAAGTTACAAATGGATATAGAACTTAAACAAATAAGAGTACTGATTTGAAAAACGCTTTTATTTCTCAACATAACCTCCCTGTACACTGAGGCACTTGTCCCATCATTTCACAAGCTCCTGAAAACCAGCAACATAAAATTCTTTGGGCTGCTCTCAGAACCAGGCGGTGACTTCCCTTACTACAGCTTCATCGTCGGAAAAATGTTCAGTCGAAAGATGATGTTTAAGAGGGCCGAAAAAATGGAAGTCGCTTGGAGCAACACTCGTCATCTGTGACAATTCGGGTTAGCATATCGTGTCCTTCATCGTGGTAGCGATTGAGACGCTGTAATGCCAGGCCCATTCTTTGCATTTTATGTTGTGAGGTCAGCATGCGCGGCACCCATCGTGCACAGACTTTTTGAAAATCTAACCTGTCGTGCATTATGAGGTAGGCCATGCCGTGTGAATACACCTGATTCCGATAGCAGCCCAAAGAATTTTATGCTGCTGGTTTTCAGGGGCTTGTGAAACGATGGGAAGTGCCTCGATGTACAGAGAGACTATGTTGAGAAATAAAAGCATTTTTCAAATCAGTACTCTTATTTGTTTAAGTTCTATATCCATTTGTAACTTACTTATTGACTTACCTACGTACATATATCGCCAACTTAATGCATAATGCTCCAAAATTATCATTCTTACCTAAGACATATCACTCGCTCACTCATGGAGCTAAACTCTTCTTGAGAAGCCGCCAATTTTGCAGTTATTCAAGAAATTCCCAGCATTTTATGGAACCCGAACGTTCATTATCGTATTCACAGGTGGCCTCCGCCGGTTCCCATCCTGAGCCAGATCGATCCAGCCCACACCATCCCATCCTATCGCTCTAAGATCCATTTTAATATTGCCCATTCACCTAACTCTTGATCTTCCTAGAGGTCTCTTTCCTTCTGGCATCCCCATCAATAACCTATATGCATTCTCCTAAGATAAATGGCATTGGAAAATTAACTGCACCATAGGCCGACATCGTAGGAAAAGTAAATTGAAATTTGTGTAAGCTTCTGTTTCATGAGAGCTGTTGTTTTCTACATATCAGGAGAGAGCGTAGTGGTGGACTCTGGTGATCACGGTAACAAACTTGCAGATACCATAAAAGATGGGATATTTCTTGACTAGCTAAGCGACTAACAGTTTCTTAAGAAGGGCTCTGGCCCTTCAGTTGGTAATTTAGTTGGTTTTCGCTAGGCTGTAGCCTATATGACGCTGCATCAAATATGTCGTACTGTTTTACTTTGTAATGTCTTAATTTGCTCGATGTATTATTTTGAGAAAAGGCCATTCAATCATTCCTTTATATATTTTTGTTGTTGTAATTAGAGTTCACACGACTGCCTATAGAATCACTTCATGAATGCAGTAAATACTAAGTCAAATTATTAAAATTACCAGAAATGTTATTCAAAATTAGTATCACTGACACATATCATTAAATCCTCCCATCCCCCCGGGAACATCTGCTTTTGCCTTTCTCCAACTGCAGAATGGGCATTGATTTTCGGAAACTATCAATGTTAGGCCAGGCGGTAGGCGGATTCTTTACTTGTTAAGGGCTGAAGGTATGTTGAGACTGTCTTACCTCTGGACTGACGTCGGTAGCGTTGGCACTCGACACGAACTCCCTGAGGAAACCATCTAATTCCGTGCCTTCGATGTAGCCGTTGCCTAGAAATAAACCAGAAAAATCTTAAGTCATAATATTCTTCACGATGTAAGTCCACTCAACTAATCCCTGTACCCAATGCTTTTGAACGTACGATTGCTCCTCCGTGGGCCGCAGACATATCTCGGCGTTGTTTTTGTGTTAGTTTGTCCTTTATAAAGAGCGTCCCGTTTCTGTTTTCAGTCGTAATTACTAATATATTCAGGACTAAGACGTTAATTCATCTACGGGCCTTTCAGCTTTTATGTGGTAGGTGCTGGGTTCAAATCCATGCAGAGGAGCAGAAGCGTTCAGATTATTCAGAAGTTCCAAATAAATCGGGAAATAACAGCTCAGTCTCCTCGTGTGGTCCTTTTTTCACGCTCACTGCCTATAAACATTTCTGTGTTTGGCGATATAATGCCATCTAGTTCGGTGAAAGTCGACAGACATTTTGGAGGAACATGCCGCTCTTGTCTTCAGGATTGAACGATACGCCAAGCTATAAATCAGCTTGAAGCAGGCAGCAAGCAGGTGTACAGTTCTGAAAGTTCGGCTTCTTTAAAGCCACTGATTCTATGATTCGTTCTTTCGGATATAAAAGTAATAAAATACTTTTATTCGAGACATAAACCTATAACATTCGTCTATCATGGTTTTCACATTATTTTCGATGGAAATCTTTAGCTGAGGAACTGGTCTCTATTTGACTTCATGTAAACTTTAACAAAACTTATATAATTCCAATTATTTCGCTTTTGTAGCACGACTTCCACCCCCCAAGAACTGACAAGAACTGAAGGGAATTATTTTTATGAGATACTGGTAATACCTCTCATTCGACTTTTAGTTTTGTGTACAGTTACGACCCTGCAAATTATATGTAGTTGTGCAATGGAACGTTTATTTCGGTGTGCGTGTACTTACAGGTAAACACAAGTCGTTGAAATTTGTAAATCTTGTTTTAATTTACTAATAATTATTCAATATTAAATTTGTAATTGCACTTAATGAACATAAAAAATATATGATATAATAACAAATAATTTAAACCTACACAACCATAACAAAATATAAAACCTGTATTAATGAAATATTAAAGTAATTTTATCCACGCAGGATTCCGAATATCTTGAATGGTATCAAAATATCTTTTATGCCTGTAACACGAATTTTGTAAAAATTATACTGATGGTAAAGAATTTTAGCTATCTAATATAAGAAAAAGAGATAGAAGTTTTTGAATTAGGTACTTAATACCTGAGAAATTAAAACCTGCAGGTTGGTAGCTCTGCAAAACACGGTTCCCACACACGTAAGTTGATTTTGATGGCGGTAACCTAACTTTAGTTAAGCACGTTAAATTATACATACAGAGACCGAAAGGAATCCGGGATAGCTCAGTCGGTATAGTGACTAACTATGGGCTCGACGACCGAGGGGTCGGAGTTTGAGTCCCGGTAGGGCCAAAATTTTTCTCTTCTCTACATCGTCTAAACCGACTTTGTGGTCCACCCAACCTCCTACCCAAAGGGTATCAAGGGGTCTTTCCCCGGGGGAAAAGTGGCCAGGGCGTGAAGCTGATCACTCACCTCCAGCTAGTGCTGACTTCAAGAAAATGTGGATCTATACATCCACTCCGCCATATGCGTTCACAGTGTAGTGCTCAATTAGTTAAGCACTGGGACAGCTTTACCCTTTTTATGCAGAGACCAAACATGTCAACAAATTCTGTATTCGAATTAATTTTTCATATAATTCATTACAATCCACGGTCATGAACGCCTAATCTCTTGTTTATTTGATACTTTTATTAGAAAAACATTATTTGCTTTTAAGCCAACATCAGTGCTTTCTTAAGTAGTACTGATACACAGAGCAGCCGTCACAAATTTTCACATTCACCTCTAGACTACAAACTATGCATATGTCTTAACAATTCAGAAAATAAGACAATAAATACACAACGTTAATTAGTGCAAATTTAATAATATTATTTCAAGAATTGTATTTATATTTCTGTATTAAACAACTGCTTAACACATGTTTACTTAAATTAATTTTACAATTGTCATATTTGTGTTACTCCAGTCAAAATTCAGTAGTGTGCAGGAGAAGTTCAACCAACACATCTGTTGTGTACAGTTAAATTGATCATACACAGTTCTTTATGAGTGCAATATGTTTCAACCTGTTGGTCATCATCAGGCTCTTTCACATTTCCTGTCAACTGTTATTATTTACGAGTTCAATAAATCCAGTTATCAATCCAAACCCCATGTGTATTCACTAACGAGCGATAATATGAAACTATTTACAAAAAGTACAATAAGTTAAATAATTAACGAAACCCACATACATCTACGTCGTAATTATAAAACCGAAAGCAAGGTACAAATTTATTTGTTGTCCACTAGAGTGTACACGATCAGTCAATTTGCCTCTGCATACGTCTCAAAGTACTCAGCAGTCGATAACAAATCACCTGCCCGTTAGTGCAACACACGGGAAATTGCTTTCCTCTCTCGTTTCCCAGTGATTGATGACTGCATTACTACATGAAGTGTCAGGATCTAACGAACGCTTCGAAGGTTGTGCCTTACTCTAGCGAAGCTGAGAGTGAAGAGTTGCACACTAAGGTATCCTTATTAAATATTTATTTTATATATACGTAATATTCAGAAATTGTTTAAGAGCGTCGTATAAAGTATCAACACTCAACCTCGTTTCGGACAAATACATTTCTTAATATATTACGGACGTCTTTTGGCCTGTCCTTTTCCGTTAGACCCCTCTCATTTTAAAAGGAAGTACTGGGTGGTGGAAAAAGTTACATTGCTGCACTAAAATGAATGGCTCTACGGATCTGAACGAAACTCATGTAAGTAGATGGTGTATAACACTCAGAATTACTGCGTTTTTGGACTTTTTCCATCGTCCGATATTCTATAGACTAGAAAACACGACATTTAAGAAACTGGACCTGCCTCCATCCTCAGGTGAAAGGGGAAGACACATACTCAGTTGGGTCCTTTAGAAAGAGCTAACCTCGATCACTGGTCCAGTGAAAAAAGTAAACACGACGTTAGGTCCAGTGATCGAGGTTGACTTTTGCTAGGGGACCCAATTGAGAGTTTTCTCCCTACGCCTGAGTACGGAAACACAACCAGGTTCCGAAACGTCGAGTTTTCTATTCTCTAGAATACCGCATGATTGAAAGAGTCTGAAAAAGTAATAATTCTCAGTGAAACTTATATAAGCACTGCAGAAGAAGCCAAAGTGTTTGTGTATAATAGTATTTGTTCCATTCAGTTCATCCTTTAACACAAAAATACTTTCCATTTTTTATGTTGAAAATATGAATTTTTACATCCATAGCTATCCGCTCAGATGACGCTGCTGCCTAATCAAAAAAATCCATATAAAGGCCACCAGATTATCGAATTATAAGTCTGTTAGTCTGTCATGTTTTGGAATGAACTTGAAGAGTCAGAGTACAAAAAAAGAGAGAGACCGTTCTTTATCCGGAATTACTGCAAAAAGTATTAAAAATGCGTGTCATTTAGTGTCACAAGATAATATCCTGTCACACGGCAACGGATCGACAATGAAGAAGATTTGTTCGGTCTGTAATTTAATAAAATGGACGTCATATTCGTCATCAGTGCCAAAAAGAAATAAGACTCAACTATAAATATGATGCAAATTTTTGAAGTTCCTGAAGGAAAGTAATTTATGAGCATTACATAGACGCTACACATAGCATTGATTGAAGCCAAGGCTTTCAGAACATTTATTAGAATATATCCCTTATTCAAAAGTGACATTAAACTAACCCCCATAAAGTACAGATTAGGTCAGTAATGGCTTGTGCTTGTCTCGCCTGAAAATTAGAGGCAGACACCCAGTTCTCAAAATTGCAGTGCCTGCAAAACAAGGTTTTCCGCACCAATGGAATTTTTCGAAGGTGCAGACCTGTCAGTGATTTGCACATGGCTTTCAACCTCCGTAAATATATGCTTATGTAATGAAATTGTGTAGGAAACAAGCAGAAGTAATACAAAACCATGAGAGTGAACATGTTTGCGGTATAGGACAAGGCGAAGCTGGACATAGAAAATATAACAGGCTTAAAATTGGAGGCGGTCAAGCTTACGACCGTTTAAGTGGCTAAGCTGTCGTTGTAACATAAGATGAATAAGATAATGATCTACTTTCCAAAGTAGAAGAGGACTTGTACATAGTGCACAAGTGCAAGAAAGAAAGAGGCAACTGGGAAGACCAAGGCGTAGGTGGGTGGACAATATGAAAATGGATCTTGGAGAGATAGGATGGAATGGTATGGACTGGAATGATCTGGCTCAGGATAGGGACCAGTGGAGGGCTCTTGTGAACACGGTAATGAACCTTCGGGTTCCATAAAATACTTGGAAATTCTTGAGTACCTGCAGATTTGGCGGCTCCTCAAGAAGGGCTCAGCTCCATAAGTAAGTAAGTAAGAAGTAAATTTACATTATAAATATGTTATAAATGAAAGTACAGTTGATAAAGTACATATTTATTATAATTAAATAATATGATGGGTGGGGAACACAGAAGTGAATGAAACTCAGAAGTGGGCCACGTACAAAAAACGGCTGAGAATCACTGATTTAGAGGGCTGTTTGAGGTTCAGGAATTGTGAGCTGTTGCTGTGAGAAGCTGGTTGCTGAGGCTGGGAACAGTTCGGGAACCCATATCTAAGGATGCCGCTACCAAGCAACGACAGTGCAGAGGTGTATGTGGACACCAGTGTGAGTGTGCGTGTATGTGTGTGTGTGTGTGCGCGCGTGCACTGCAAATTGTAGACACGCACCGCATTAAAGAGTCCAATAATTCCGGCCATTAATCCAAAACCTCTCTACAGTCACGATCTGATACGTGACAATATAATGATAAGGTTTAGATATGCATGACAAATTTATTACGAAGATAAACCATAAAGATGCCTCTAAACGTGACATATTTGTTTGTACAGTTAAAA